AATTACGGTGCATTCCAATAACTTACATCCACTTCATTGAACTTCATTTGGAATATAGGAGTTGTCTGATGATCATTAGCAAAAATATATAAAAATCTCCTTAAAGTTTGCTTCAAGTGGCTATTCCTTTAATATATAAAGATGTGTGGTTACTTGTTTTTTTTTCTTTCATTGAACTGTTATCCAAACTGAGCGTGTTAGTGAATTTCTGCATTCCTGTCTTAGTTTTAATGTATATAATAATAAAAATGTATATTCAAATACTTAAATATTTATTTCTCCATGTACGACAAGCATGACAAATTCAATGAAATTAAAAAAAATAATAAAAAAAGTCATTTTCTCCTGTAGTACTTCTCCCTTCTTCTAATGCGTGATTTCTTTCTAGGGGTATTCCTACAATAAAGAATATATAAATAAAAAGAAATAATCTTTGTCAAGTTTATAGCATAGGCAATTCATTAATTTTTAAGACAGTAATCTGAGACTTGAGACTCAGCAGTAATTGACCAATCATGTCAATATGGATCAAAATAGTTAAACTGATAAAGGATGCAGACCAAAGGTGCATGTACTTTTTACATCATGTTTGGGTCAATTATTTAAAAAAAATACGTCTATTTAGGAACTCATGATGTACTGGTATTTCACATGGTGACACATTTTCATTGCATAATATTATTATACTAGCATGTATAGACTGCATATATATTATCAAGGGAACCAAATATAAATCTAAATTTCCTTCACTATCGATACAAATTCACCTATCAGACCTCATGTTGTGTGTGTGCAACTTGTCTCGTGTGTTTCTCAGTTCTGCGGCGGGAACTTAATGATACAGAAAAATTGGAATTTCATATAATTACAAATTTTACATCATTACATCGGTTAATTACTAAGGCTTGCACATACATTATCCGGAAAACATATTGTTCATCTGAATGTAAGTTATGGGTGAGTTGCTCATTGACCCTGTCCCACGGACTGGTAATAACTCGAGGTTACTTTCCGGTTTGGTCGGTAAATTCAAGTCTATAACTGCACTTATTTTATTTAAAGTGCTTATAAACCAACATTTATGAACATGTCAAATCTTAAATTCACACTTACCGGAACATAACACTCTTTATAAATCCACATTTGTTAATTATTATTTTCTCTTTCGCTGTCAAAAATGGCGGTCGAATCCTTCTTGTCAATCATTGCGAGTCACGTGCCGAGTCACGTGATCGAAGACTCACAATTAATTACTATTTGACTGGTCAGTACGGGAAGTGACCAATCTCTGTGTTATAGTAGTCTCAGGTTAAATGGGTAGTTGATTATTGTGCATATTTTATCGTTCATTAAAACGTTTGTATGATTCATTTGAGGCGATTCTAATTTCTTTGCGATGAGTCTAACACGGAAAACTCGTAACATGAAAACTATTACGATGCAACTTAAGGGGGAAACAAGACCGTTCTACGACCAACCTGAGGGAGCTTTGATTTACACTCTTTGAATGATCTTAGGATTATCTTATCTTCCCCTTAATTCAATACTTACATTCTCAATTTTACGATCTCTTTTTATAAAATTTCTTGTTACCGGCCCCAGTTCTCCCCTTGTATAGAAGCTTCATAATTCCTTTTTTAATTCTAAATTGCTTGTATATTTCAAGCTTTTAACCTTGCAATTAAACTTCAATTTATAACGAAATTTTCGTTTAAGAGCGGTCAATACGATTAGAAATCAAAAATCTGAGACTAGTTACTTTCAAATTGGTCATTAGAAATATAATCGATTAGAAATTTAAGCATCAAAGTCATATTCATTGTTTCAAGATAAAAAGATACACGCGACTTCAGTTTTAGAAAAAATTGCAACATTTTTCATTTTTGAGTTGAATTTTTATTTTTTCTTATGTCAAAAACAAATAATCAGAATTTCTTCATTTTCTCAGAATTTAATTGACTCCAAAATTGTGTTAAAATTTTGTCTTATTTCAATCACTTCTTTAAAAAGTTATTTCCGATAGGAACTTGTATTCCAAAGAATGTAATAAGGTGATGCGTTTCTTTTGTTGTTGAGCATATCTTTCCAGTCAGTCCTATCTTCCGATTGATATAAAATCGTTTCATTCATTTTTTAGAACGAGCAATTTTTATAGATGCATCGCTGCTACATGTTATGGTCGTCCACTGTAACTAAATACGTTTCATTTCGCTTAATTATTCTCGTTCTTCTTACACATTACTTACATTGCCATTGGTTTTTATGCAGGGTAGATTAGATAAAACAGTGTCCTTTCTTACATGATTAGACCAAAATTACGAGTTCTTCTCCATTCACTTCATAAAAGACATTGCTGGAAAGTCGACTATACACACCCGTTCCGTTGGTTGACTTAAAAATGTCGAAATATTTTAAATTGATATTGATTGGATTTTGCTTTAAACTTGTAAGAAAAACAATTCCAAAAACATTGTATACTAAAGGAATTCAAGCCCAACGAGTGCTTTTAAATTGTGAATTGGTTGATTCCGTATTGGAATTTTTAAGATACAGTATCTTTTCATTTGCCCCTCTCATTTCTTAAACATGTAGTTTATTTTTGTATTCTTTTTTTCTGTTGCAAAAAGCTTAATCAAACTGCCAAGGTAAGCATAATTTCTTTTTTCATTTGCTATGTCTAAATGTGTTTTTTGTGTATTTGTGTTTCTATCTTTCAAACGTATATCAAACATGCCTTTTGTTGATACTGTAAGCTTAAAATGATATCATGTTCTCCGGAAATGGCTTTACTTAATCCTGCTCTCAGCAGGCAACACTTTAGATAAATTCAAATATCGAGTCAAATGAAATCCCAAATACCACGTACTTTACGACGGGTAATTTGCAGGGTTAACGTATCCCGATTGTCATACAGAACCTGCCCAGGCCGTCGTGTAGTCAAAGAGTAGTCAAAGAGTACCTAGAAGAATAAAAAAAAAAAGTTCTCTGTCACAACTCATGATATATACAAAGTCTTAATGATGACCGCAAAAAAAAATAACAACCAAGAACTCGAGTACGAAAATCAGTGCCGATAAGCTATTTTTAAAAGTTTTGCCCATTGGAAACATTAATTATATGGAAAATTGCATCGTTAGCGCTCTCATTTGTACAATTCTTGCCACATTTTTATGAAACTTTATTGTAGGTTTATATCAGCAATGTCTAGGACGAGTTAAAAAGTCAGTGCCGATCAATTATTTTTAAAAAGAGTAATGCCCCTTGGAAATATTAATTATATGAAAAATTGCATTGCGAGCGCTGTCATGTGTACAATTCTTACCAGATTTTTATGCCCCTTGGAAACATTGATTATATGGAAAATTGCATCATTAGCGTACAATTCTAGCCAGATTATTATGAAACTCATATCATAGGTTTGTATTATCAATGTCTCGAACAAGTTCGAAAATCAGTGCCGATCAATTATTTTTAAAAGAGATATGCCCCTTGGAAATATTAATTATATGAAAAATTGCATTGTGAGCGCTGTCATGTGTACAATTCTTACCAGATTTTTATGAAATTTGTATCCAATCAATTATTTTTAAAAGAGTAATGCCCCTTGGAAATATTAATTATTTTGGAAATTGAATTGCATTTGCTCTCAAGCCCTTGGACCTTGGACAGATAAAATATGTGCAACGCGGGGCACATTGGAACCCTGTTCTTTTATCTATTTTGAATGATTATCCAATCGTCAAATGGCAAACAGTTTCAATTGGCTTCATTTTGATGAAATGTAGTATTTAATATACGCATACGTACACCATTACATGCTCTTGTATTGCAAATATAAAAGAACAATTAGTAACCAGCAGTTTAATATCAGTCTTACACCGACGAACAAAAGCAAATCATCCCACACATTATCCAATTAAGAAACATTACTTAATGTTCATAATATTTTCACCTTGTTAATAGACGTTAAGTTAGACCTTTCAATCCCCATGGCGTCTTTAATGAATCACCTTATAATTATTTTTTGAAGTATGCTTAGTTTATGTTGTGCGTCTTTTTGATGCTTTATCCTCCGAAACAATTAACAGATATTTGTACCTGATAGAGGACTAACGTTCATCTAAATGGACACATAAAATTAATTGATCAGCTGCCGTTATAGTATACTGCATTGTAACATTTATAATTTAGTAGATTTAGAATGGTGAAGAAATTACATATTTCAATCAATAATTGTCGTAAATTACCAAAGAATGATTAAATTTGACTTAATGTGATGTGATTTGGGAAAAGTGTGCTATTTTAAAATCTCTCGTTTTATGTGTTTGGCGAAAGTAAACAACAATGGAATAAATATCGAAAAGAATAAGCAATTACATTTTTTTCAATAAAATTATTAGACGGAGCAATAAAAACCAAACCCCAATTAGAAAGCAGACAAAATAAAATTATAGACGATTATCTTATGCGAGCTTTTGATTTATTTAAAATATATGATGCTTGTTTCCTTGTAATATTGATACTAAGGCATTGAAAAAAATGCAATGGTTGATACAAACAAAAAAATGTAAATTATCACGCGAGTAAACTTAATTATACAAAATGTCTTTTGAACAGTGACTTGAACTATTATGAACAAAGATGAAGTGATAACAATTAAACCTATAAATATAGGTCTTGTTAAAATATGATAATAGTATTTAACTCATTTTAAGATAATTTCGTTATAAAAGAAGTGACTTGAACGATAACAAAAGAAAAGAAACTAATTTGCAAGACGCGAAAACTCTTTTGAAGTTCGTATTATAAATTAATTTCTACACGGCGTGCATATATTTTGATGCAGATGTTTTTTTTTTTTATATTTTTAGTATGAAACATCAGATAATATTAAACATGTGTAAGAAGAAGTAATCAAACCAAATGTAAAGTATTTATCGTTTTATTGATTGTCTTATTAGTATAAATATCTGTATACTACAGAAACAGGTGGTCAATAACTTTTGGAGTTGTATTCGACAGAAAACGTCTTTGAACAGAAGATCTCTTATCAGGATGTTTTACAACACTGATTGCGTATTATCGTCGTTACAAGATCAGCGAAGTTCAAATCGGAAATGATTTGGAAACTTTGAAATGAGAAAACAAACAACATCGGATCATAACATTCTTGGAAGTGAAATAAGGTTTTTATCTAAACAGTTAAGTTTTAAAGAAATTAAAATTGATTGCATGAACCGAGTAATTGAATGGCAAAATAGAATTGTACCGCATAACTGGTATATGGATAATAAGTTTTAAAGAAATGAAAATTGATTTTATGAACATAGTAATTGCACGGTAAAATAGGAATTGTGTAGCATAGCTGGTATATGGATAATTTTATGATGTGATCGGCCAATTGTGAAGTTGGGAAACAAAAATGAACAACAGTTTCACGAATGAAACTTACATTTCTGAACAAAAGATTTCTCATTTTTTACAAACTATATTCATATTCCTGTATTCTATAATCGTAGTAATAGCTATAGGGGGAAATAGTATAGTTTGCTATCTAGTTTATGCATACAAACGGATGAGAACTATTCCAAATTATTTTCTTGTGAATTTAGCAATAAGTGATATAATAATGGCAATTTTTTGTATTCCGTTCACATTTGTGGCCAATCTTTTATTAAACTATTGGCCATTTGGTGAAACCATGTGTCCTTTAGTGAGCTATTTACAAGTGGTAGCAGTGTTTCTGAGCGCATATACATTGGTTGCAATGAGTTTTGACCGCTATATAGTTATTGTACACCCATTTAGACCACGAATTACTACAAGAAAGACCTTGTGCGTTATTATCATTATCTGGATATTATCTTTATCTATACCTATTCCTACATTAATCAAATCAAAAGTGCAATATTATTCAAACACAAGTGGCCAGTGTTTAGAAACCTGGGATAATAATCACACTTTAATGTATGCCTACAGTACAGGAATAATGGTACTACATTTTTTCGGACCGTTAGTTGTGTTGATATTCTGCTATAGTAGAATAGGATATAACATTTGGAAGAAAACTCTTCATGGAAATGATGAAAATAAAAGAAGATTACAGCTAGCTTCAGCAAAACAAAGGGTGAGTACAAAGAAGTGTCAGTTCTTCACATCCAATTTGCGTATTTTATGCTGTTAATTGACTGTTTTAAGGTCAAAGGTACTCATATTTCTCTTTTGTTATCAGAATAATTCATGCCAATGTCCTGTCCATAAAATGATGATACTTAATATCATATATTCTACAAAAGGTGTCTGTACGTGATAAAAGATAATTAGTAGTGCCATTAAGAATCTACAAGTGAAAGAAGACCAAAGTTGTTCTGACACAAAACAGAAATAATTGAACGAAAACAGACTGTTGATATTGATTGAATCTATTCAATGGTTATATATAAGAATCAATCATTATGGTTTGAAAATGTCATACGTTTTTTGAGTTGTCTAAGACCATTCCCGACTGAACTACTTGTATAATCGACACAATTTCCTTGAAACACCTGGTTTAATAAAATCTTTTATAAATTATTACATGCTCAAAAGGTTCATATAGTATATATATACGAAACACAAAATATTCTGTCTTCACAAGATAAAATGTTAAAATATTACAGTATTATTTATTATTAAAAATTGGAATATCTTTTAAGATAATTAACCTTAAATGGAGAAAATGATTAATTTACAGATAGTCATTCTGAAGACTATTGGATGAATAGAAAAACGAACAAAATAGTAATATTTGAAATAAAGTCTGAAAAGAGATCTTTCATTTAGTTCATTTAGCCATACATATTAAAGTGCGCATACCACATTCTCAATTCACACTGACAAGAAAACAAAACGGGAATAGGCAACAAATCCCATCGAGAACACCAGAACCATAAAAATCAAAACAGAACGGTAAAATTACATCACGTGACTGAGCCGTATCACATTGTGTATTTGAACGTGACAGAACCTTTGAGCAACAAGAATAAATAGAGATGTGGGATAAACGTCAACGAGAAAGAAACCCAGCGACTAGAATACCAAAAGACATTTAGAGTGCAACAACAGTCTTCAACAATAGACATGTGACTTAAGATCTAAATCGCCCCGCGTTCATACTTAAGGATGTTCGCTAACTCTCTATAAAATTTGCAAGCTTTTTAAAAGACTGTTATAAATTGATAATATATAAAAACGGAACTAATCAGAAATAAATTATAGGTCTGTGTCCTTGTTTTTGAGATATAATACATTGAAAATTTGTCTGGAAATGATTTTCTCTAGATTTTTCTTACATTTAACATTGGTTCCTTTTTAAATCCAAAAAACTATGAAAAAACAAGGATTTTATAACATTGAAAAAATGGCTTTATAAACTATATGTAATTAAACTATGAAAAGAAAAGTAGGGGTTGGCGAGCAAAATATTTAATGGCACTACATGGACAAAACCAGAAGATTCCGAAAATCCAAAGAGCTAAATTTTCAAAGGAATAATGTATTTCCGAAAATTATCTCTCACATCACAGTCACATTTAATCCTTTCAGCCATATTTTCAATGTATTGGCTAATACTCTAGTATAATTCCTACTCAATATAAAACAAGTAAGCAAATAAGCTAAATTAAAATCAGAAAATATTAATAACGTGTAACATTGTTTGATTATTGTGATACGATGTGCTAGGCCTTGTGCCCGTCTTTATCCAAAATAAAATTTAAGGCTTCTTATTTTAGAATATTTGTTTTTCTTATTGTGAAACTAAACTAAAATTGAATAAAATAAACATATTCCATCAGCATAAGTCAAAATGAAAAACACGAAATCTTCACTTGGAAACTGATCAAGGGGAGATTCCTTTTAAACGGAGAAAATATCATTTTAGCTGCTAATTTGCCTGATTTTTATTTTATTTTTTTACAAATATATGCATGTCTACATGTAAGTGTATCATAAAACGAATAGCATGTTATTTGTTATTCTATAAGATATAAGCAATAAAGTACATAAAGATTTATCTGTCGTATACTTGTATGTAAACAAAGACACTATAAAAAGTAGGTAATGTACCTTATACTGTCAAAATTAAAACAAATGTTAGATCTTCAAAGGTTGAACTCATTTACAGTTTTTAAAGGGAACGTTATTATTCTCACTTCCAAGAGTTCAGATCTTTGTTGATATGTCTGCTATATGTAGGACTCGGAGGTGCGGAGGGGACGCTGAAGTGCGATGGTCACGCTAAAGCGAGATAGTCTTCGCAAAGTGTGATGTTTCTTTTGCTGATGGACCATATAACGTGTTATGGCTAGTTTATAATATACAGATGTGCAATTTATATTTTAAGAGTAGATTTTTTTATTAGTTAGCATACAAATTTGCATACATAGTTGTCCATAAAAACATTAGCATGTCCGTTAATAAATTTTGAAATTGTTAGAAACTAAGGTTTCAACTCCCTGAGGCAAAGTTGACTTGAGATGAATTTGGCTATTTTTTTTAGGTCCTTCTTGGTTATATAACTCTTCAACTGTTTAGGTTCTTATACATCCTTGGCTATCAAATATTCGGCTTTGAGCGTTCCTCATGAAGGTAAATCCAGGAAAGTGCTTCTGACATATGAAATTTATAACATGTTGTTTTCATTTTTATGGCATTTTGGTAAAGATGGTATGTATGCGTATTGTTGAAATAAAAAAATCGTCCAGGACGAGGACTGCAATAAGCTTCTTTACTATACAAATTGAAAAAAAAAGTATGTTATAATCGTATACTGTTTAAATTTCCTCGTTAGTTTCCTGCTAATATTATAGTTTCACATTTCTTTAAACGGAGTTTGCAACATTTGAAATACAGGAATTATATATTTCATATTATGTTCTCAGTTACAGTCTTGTGCTAGATGAGACATCGCCCTATCTAATTTTACTGCATATTCTCGATGATTTACTTACAAAAAGACATGACTTCTACATCGACATGTGAACATGAAAACCATTGAAAATATATAATTTATGTAATCTATTATAACACTTCAGCATTACCCCCAACGCACTTCGGCGTAGCTATCAATAAGATAGCGTCACAATGCCACCATTGCAACTCAGCGTAATCAAAAACCCACTTCAGCGTCAAACCATCGCACTTCAGCGTGACCATCGGGGTTCTGAGTATCATGGTGGTTTAGAGTCATACAATGATATAAACCCTGTTAAGTATAGTCCTTTTTTATAATTCTTTACAACATGAAATTTCAAAAAGCTATTCTGTTTTGGTACCAAAGTATCTCTCTCACCTTTAAATTGTTCACATTTGAGTACAAAATGAAATAGAATGTTTGTGACTAAGGGTCCTTAATCGAATAAGAGTTGTAATGTTTTTATAAATTTCACTATCGAGGATTTTGAAGTAGCTTTATCTTTCAGGAAATGTTTGAGTACACAATAATTAATAAAGTTTGGCGATTCTGTTACAATGAAGTTTACTAAACTGTTAAAAATGGTCTGTAAGAATAACTTTATTATCACGATACAATCAAGTAGAACTGACAAAGTACTTAGGCTACAAAACATTCTATAAAAAAGAATGAAATAATATTAAACCATAGAACATTTACAACATACAAAAATGTACTTTACTGTATAGACAGAAGTTGCGACCAGTAGATTAAATCCGCAACTTAACATTCATATCTAATGGATACCTATCAGTTCTTCATATATGACGAAACCATGTGTTGGCTCCTTTATAAATAAATTCAACCAAATTTTATAAACTTTGAAATGAACCCTTTTGAATGCAGAATAACTAAGTTTGACGATTTATCAAAAAGGTCAAGATAACATTCCACGGCTAAAGGATGTTTTCAGTCTTTGAGATCAACTCGTACATTGTACTTGTGTGCGTCTAATTTGCTTTGAAAAAAAAATTCGGTTACAAATGTACGTAAATTCATTTACATTTTCAAATTGTTTTATGAATTTTATATTCAATAAAGGTCAACCTATTGAACATTGTTTTTTGCCTATTCACGTTTACCTTGACTTTTTAAATTTGACAATGAAAAGAATCAAGATTATTTTGCAAACTATAAAACCGAATTATGAATTTTCCTGTTTTGACAACTTTTAATACCAAATTACCTCTTTTATATTTTTAAGCATATATTTCTTCACTATAAATGTTATCATTATACTCTTAGCCTTTTGATACATAAAAAGAGCATTAAATCTTTTGATTTTAATTATCCCTTTTATGTCATTTTAATCTATATTAGTTAACTTACGAGTGAAAAACTGTAATCCTTTGCACGCAACATTCAGTGTCACGAATTCATATACCTTCAGCTGACTAAGCAAAAACACGATATCATGTATTCACCAATATAAAACTTTACAGGTGAAATTGAAGATAACAATGCATTGATTGATTACTGATAATTTAGCTTTTGAATAAAAGTAAATTGAACGAAGAATTTTCCCGCCCAGTTGTAAGTCTTATAGTATTCGTATGATAAAAAATCGAAAAAGTAATAAAATTCATGTTATACATTTTCAATGATGTCACAATACTTCTGACCGTACTAAATTCATGGTAGACAAATGCTTATAGTTGAAGATCTACAGTTGCTAGCCTACTACGTCATTTGCAGCTATACTGTACCGTCTTATTTTTTCTTTATTTAGAAAGCTAAATACGGATATAGAATCAACCGTTTATATCGCGTGCACGCATTTATTGTTTCTCCATTCATGCGTCAAAAAATGAAGCATTTCAAAGCTATATTAGAAAACAATAAATAAATTAATTAAAGCTTTGATGGAAACGATCAGGATTATCAGAGAGGGAACAGCTTTGTTTAAATTTTATGTTCGATTTCCGGAACTACCTGTTACAGCGTAGCAGGATAAATAATGACAGAAAAGCTCGTTAAAACAGTTCAGTTATTACCTCCTACAAAATATATGCATGATATAGAACTGATCGACATTTTAATGACTTCTCCAGGTCACTTCATCACTGTTTGATTAATTTTATCTGTGGCATACACTGAACAGAACGATCAACCAAGACGTCTTCTGTATGTAAACA